ATAAAAATATTGATAAACATAGCCATGACAAAATCGATAAAAATATTGAAAAAAATATCTATAACCAAATCGATAAAAATGTCGATAACAAAATCAATAAAATTATTCATAACAAAATTGATAAATATCCATAACAATAAATATTGATAACAAAATCGATAAGTATTGGTAAAAATACCGATAACAAAATCGATAAAAATATCGATAATAAAATCGATAAAAATATCCATAAAAATATCCATAACAAAATCTATAAAAATATCCATAACAAAATCGATAAAAATATCCATAACAAAATCGATGCAAATATCCACAACAGAGTGGGTAAATATCGATAACAAAATCGATAAATATCTATAATAAAATCGATAAAGATATCGGTAACAAAATCGATAAAAATATCCATAACAAAATCGATAAAAATATCCATAAAAAAACCGATACAAATATCCACAACAGAGTGGGTAATTATCGATGACAAAATCGATAAATATCTATAACAAAATCGATAAATATCGATAACAAAATCAATAACAAAATCGATAAATTTGATAACAAAATCGATATTATATCGATAAGTTCCGAAAATATCGATAGCAATTTGATAAAAATTTCGATAAAAAAGTATACAAAAATATCGATAACAAAACCGATAAAAGTATCGATTATTTTATCCATAAGTCCCCAGAATACCGAAAATCTCAAAATACTTGCTAGATTAAGTCTCTGTGTCTCTCCCTATATCCTTTCCTCTTTATTTACCTTTATTTTAATCTTTCTTCCCCTATCTTCATCTTTATTTTTATCTGTATCCTCATCCTCCTCCTTGTCTTTACTTTTATGTTTATCATTTTCTTCATCTACATATTCTATATCTTTTGCTAAGTGTTATTCTTTAACCTTTTATTAGCAAATTTTTGTTAAATTAATACCATATGCATACACACAAGAAGTACTTTCAGCCCCAACCATTTCCGGTGCACCATTTCCGTGGCAATATTCCCGTTGCATCATTTCCGTTGCATCATTTCCGTGTGCAATTTCCGTTGAATTTGCCAGTTTACTCCCAACCAACCAACCAACCGCAGCTAAAGAAGTTTCACTTCAAAAAGTCCCTGAATTTTGAATATATTTTACTAAAATTTTTCACATAACCATTTTTCAATATTATCTTAACTTTTCGTACCTATTTTTTAGATTTGCCCATATATTCTTGTACCTATCTCTAATTTTTACTTTTATTTCTAGAAATGGTTCGATAACGGCCCACCTACGACATTTTGGCTTTCCGGATTCTACTTCACTCAAGCATTTCTCACCGGTGCGCAACAGAATTTTGCACGCAAGTACGTTATACCAATCGATCTGTTGGTTTTCGACTACGAAGTTTTGCACATGGAGGAGGACCAAACTAAAGGCGTTGCTGCCCCAGCTGATGGCGTCTATGTGTATGGGGTATTTCTGGAAGGTGCATGTTGGGATCGCGTAGGTAATTGGTTAGGAGAATCACGCCCGCGTGAGTTATTTGATCACATGCCAGTGATTTGGATGAAACCTGTAAAGCGTAGTGATCTCAAAGAACAACACGTCTACATTTGTCCGTTATACAAGACAGCGGAACGTCGCGGTGTGCTCTCCACCACAGGTCATAGTACGAATTTTGTTGTGGCAATGCTTCTGGAATGTAATCCGAAAACAGATTTATCACATTGGATTGAGCGCGGGACGGCGTTGCTGTGCCAGTTGAGCTTCTAAGCGGTACTAATTTTACATACATGCATACATACTTAGATAATACATTGACACATACATTCATGTATACATACTAGGGCCTTCAATCCCGAAGAATCTTAACAATCCCGGGATTTCGGGATGCAAAAAGTTCTAATTCCGGGATCCCGGGATTTTTCAGGATTTCGACTTCATCACAACTTTTGCATGTAACAGTAGGTTCGCCTTTTTTAAACCACACAGATTCATTGTCACCCTTTTTGGTCTTACAGGGAGCATAATGCACCTTAGTAAAAGAGTCCGTAATTTAATGTCTAAATATTTTTATAGTATTCTTAATTATCTATATTAATTGTAAAAACCACTGACTAATATCTTCAGAAATTCATTTTCCACAAAACGCAAACAAAATAAAATGAAAAACAACCCTTCTACACTGTAAAATCTTGTTGTGTTTTCAATTTCTACCAGATTTTTCGTTATTACACAGGTGTTGCACAAAATGTTTGAACAAGTACAGATATTCAGGCAGGTTCTGAAATTCACGTCCGGTGCAAATGCCTCAAGTTCACTTTGAATCAAATTTTTGGTGTTCTGTATATCTCGTTTTTCATGTTAAATGAATTAATTTTTTCGTTTTCAACATCTCTTTTATTCCGTAAATTCTATTCTGGATCCCGGGATTGAATTAGGGCATTCAAAAATTTTGTTGAATTTTTCTATTTTTTTACAAAGTTTGAAATTTGGTTCTTGTTAGACAGTGAGTTGTATTTTTATAAAAAAATAAATATGAAACGAACAAAAAAAAAAATAGCCGAAACTGGTCACAATGTCGTGTCAATATTATTTTTCACATGACTGTATGTGGGCGTGTCCAACCCCGCTCACCTTTACATATTGCAGTTTTTACTCTTAACAGACCTAAGGTAAAAATTTTATCCCCATATGTTCATCGACGCTTAGTCTTTTTGAAGACTCAACAAAATCTATTTTCGGGTGCCACGATTTGAATTGGTGGAAGCTGTTGGTTGACATTTTAATGAAATGATTCCTTTCTTTTCGAGCCAATTATAAAGATTTATCAAAACTGCTGGTTTTTGGCGTTTGGATCATTGCCAAAACAATGCAAATTTTTTACAAACGTAATTAATACCTTTTTGCAACTCATACCGATCTGGGTCAAAACCCTCATATTCAATATTATTTGCTATTATAATAATATATTAATAGATTGGCGGTTACACATATGTTAGTGTTTAACCGAGCTTCTCCTCCGATTTGTGGCGTGCGCATTGATGTTGTCACACAAAGCGGAGGGACCTACAGTTTTACGCTGACTCCAAACGGCGATTGTATTTTTATGAGAAGCTGTTTTTCATGGCAGAAATACACCCGTAGGTTTGCCATTGCCTGCCGTGGGACGACCGCTGTTAAGAAAAAACCTTTTTTTATATCCCCCTTATTCTAGAACCCGAATTTTCGTAATTCGTAATTCGTAGTTACGCTACGAAAAACGAAAAATCCACATGCTGCAACCCTTGCGGAAACATGTGCAGCATTGCCAGCTATCAGTTGTTTCTCGAATATAGCTAAATGAAGGAAAACAAAGTGGAAAGGAATTAAAAAGACACTCATCATGTGCTTGTTTATTGTAAAATTGGTTAGTTTTACATATTTTGAGGAAAATTATGGACTCTGATGTTTATGCAATTATAGCAGCAGAGTAAGCGGGAGCTACGGCAATGGATTCACAAAGGTATGTAGAGCTGTCGGCCATAGTAACCATGGGCGTATCTATGTCAGCTTCTGGTTGAATTGTTGAACCACAAGCCCGAACTCCTCCTATGCCTGAAGCTCTGGTTCTCAATCCAGTTAATGCAATAACAGCTTCTCCTTCTTGAAAACATGCACTTTGTTAGGTCCACCACCTGTTGCGCTTGCTTCTGCCTTTGGCCGCGTTTAGGGATTAAGTAGAATTCTCCGTTCTGTGTCGGGAGGAAGAGGCGCTTCCGCATGTCAAAGGTATACAGCATTTCTTGTGCATATCACTCCGGCTACGCCGTCAACAGTAGTTTTGTGCAGAACCCACGTCGAAATTTGCAAAAAAGTGCATAGTGCAAACCGAGTTTATTAATAAGGAAATTTGAAACATTTATCTTAAATAAAATGTGCATCCTTTGATTACACGTGTATGTTAAAATTTTTGGATTGGACACAACAACCGAAAATCGTTGTAACAAATACTCTTTTTTGCTCGTTTATATGTATCTGTTTAAATTAACACCACCAATATTTCTTGCAAACACACATCGATTTACATCTTTTATTTCGCCTCCGACGCAGAATTGTTTTCGTACAAAATTACGCAAAAAAGCTTACTCGTTCGTTTTTAGGCATGCCATTGTTACGAATTTCGAAAGTTCGAAAATACGATTCGGATTGCAGCATACTATTTCTAGGATTTGTAGCAAGATCCGAATACGAAAGAGTTGCAGAATAGGGGTGTATATTTTTACGATGTTGATTTCACCAGGGTTTGAACCCAGGTCTGCGGAGTGGAAGCGCGCACTGCTTACGACTACACCACAGCGACCGACATTTCTTTCGCTATTGCACCCAGCAAATTTTGAACTTTTTGGGAATGCGTACCGAAATTTTTACGCCAAATCTCAAAAACATGTAATCGAGAAAATTCGCAGTGTTAACTTGTGCCTAGAAACATTTTGATTTAAAAAATTTGATAAATCAAAAAATAAACATGAAAAAAAACTGTAGAAAATAAAGAGCTTGGATTAGGTTATGGAATACTACGCCAGCCTCTGTAGGTCAATGCATCTACACTGAACACTTTTATAATCTTAAAATATTAACAAACAATATGTAAATAAAAATATTGAGGGCCGATAGGAGAAACACACTTAAAACATTGCCTAAATACTTGAAAGATGAACCAAGAAACACACAAAATCCTACTTTTCTTAAACAACGATTTGCATAGAACGCAACACGAATTATTTAAAAGTTTAATTGTAGAAATAAAGGCAACACCTTTATGTACAATATCCATTGCATATAATTTTAACTCACTCGGCTTTTCACAATATTTTAATTACGTTAAATCCAATTCAATTTTCAGCGTGCTGACGCTGTACAAATAAAATGAACAATTGATGGCACTTTTGTTGCTTTTTTCGGAAACAACCGTTAGAATGAAAACAAAAAATATATGACAACATGAAGTTTGGACCAAAAAATGATTGCAAAGCTTATTTTGGTGTAAAAATTTTTACATACATTATTTTAATGTTGGCCTATGGCAGCAACTACTGTGCACTGGTTCTAAAAAAATTTAAATATGTATACCGGCTCATTTTGGATCGTTAATTTTAAAAATCACATACAAAAATATGTAAAGTTTTGAGGTTTGCGGTCATTCAGGGTCCTTTTTAATGGTCAGTGATATCCTAGGTGTTTAAAAAAGAAAGCTGAGAAGCTATTTTTATTTTTTGCTTTCGTGAAATATATTTCAAAACTATGAATAATACCTAATAACTTTTCCGAATCTCAATTCCACGGAAATATGGTTAATATTTTTCAATAGAGTATATTACTCACTATCGACTTTTCTGTCGCATTTTTACTTTTTTGACAAACACGGTCAACTGCAACTGCAGCTTGCACTTTGATACTAGCAAATGCCCGCTTGCTTCGCGGCGCCTAATAAGATCTTTTGCGTTAGCCAATTCAAAAATAGCGTTTAGAAGCAAAAGCAGTCTGTAAAGTAAACATTTTTAGTTTAAACTGAAACGACTAAAAAACGGAATCCTCCTCACGCATATACCAAGAATAGTAACGTTGTGATTCCATATTGCATACTAATCCCTTTCGATGTAATGCGTTTTACCTATGGTCTTATTTCCATCTATGAGATCTCTGCCAAGCGTGCGTAATATTCTTCTATGATCATGCAACTTCAGCAATGGAGCAGTCCTTATACGGAAATTCAAGAGCACAGATGAGCGTTTTCAATTACACAGGGCAACACTGATTTTGGTGCGGCAAATGTTAAATCTGTTTTTGATAGACTTTTTTGAGCTGATTACGAATCCGTAATTATAAAGATTCCATCACGTACAGATTTTGAGAAAATCGTGGTCAAAGTGTCAAAAAATCGTTTTTTTTTCAATATTTGAGAAGCTCGAGCAAAGAAAAAAAAATGTGGTAGAACCTTCCACTTAGGCTTAACTTAAAGCTAGAACCCTAGGCAACTGCTCCTGAAAATACCATCCCTGCACCTTTACTTGATGGCCATTTATAGTCATTTGTTGAACAATAAAAAAATGCTGGCAAATTGTGCTATTGAAAAAAAAATGCTGCCAAAATCAGTTTTGCTGTTCAATAAACGACTATAAGTGATCTTAGGGTCAAGACGTAGGGATGGTATTTTTAGGGATTGTAGTCGAAAGTTCAAGCCTTAATTTAAGCTTAAGTGGAAGGTTCTATCACCTTTTGTTTAATTGCGGCAGGGACTCAAACTTCGCCAAAAGTCAAATTTTACTGCTCAATAAATGACTATAAGTGACCATAAATTCAATGTGCAGGAATAGTATTTTCAAGGATAATAGTCGAGGGTTCTTCGTTTAATCTAAGCCTAAGGTTCTATCGCCTTTTTACTCTTTGCTAGAGCTTCTCAAATATTGCAAAAGCCCGTTTTTTGACACTTTGACCTCGATTTTCTCGAAACCTGTACGTGTTGGATCCTTTGTACTTACGGATTCGTAAGCAGCACAAAAAAGCTTATCAAAAATAGCTTTAACATTTGTCGCACCAACTTTTTTTTTCATTTTTGTTGGCCTGTGTTATAGGAGGGCCAAGAGTCCTCGCTTCCCCACAGGATGAAAAGTTTTCGCGTACATTGGCTAAATGAGTAGTGTGATCTCAAGAATATCGTTCAAGTAAAGCAATTGATATAACTATCGTGTTCCTTCTTGGAGAGATGTGGTCGAATCTTTCCTTGTCAATTCGCCACTGTTAAAATAACGGCCGCCTCGGGCAACTTCGTCAATCGGATTTAGATGCAAGATCACGCGTACACAGTCTTATGGTCTTTATATGCATACTTAAACGCATCATAGGGCCAAAGCAGAACAAACCCCGCGGGAGTTTCTATATATTTCGGGTGCAGCGTCATCCATCGCGCCCCTTTTCTGCAAAACCTTTGCTTGTCATTAAATGAATACGAGTTATGAATTCCAATCAGATTTTATAAAAAGTACGGACTCCAGCGGTCCATTTTTAGCAAAGGAATTTCTCATCATACAGGTAGTCACGCTGCGAATTTGAACGAAATCTGTTAATAAATACGACTTTTATAAGTAACTCTACTCAAGCGCCACCAGCGTGTTTTCTAGTAGCCTATAATAGGACAATATATGCAAGGTATAACCTCCGACAATTTGACT